GAGCCCCTTGTCCCAACCTCCTCCTCGTTGGCATCGCTCTGCTCCTAATTCCCTTCCCTGCTAATTGCTCTAGCAGCTCATGGAGCTCTACCTGCTCCTGAACCGCGTCCTCCCTTCCCTACCTGCCTCCTGCCACGCTCCTGCCTCATCCCTACCCAGGAATGACAACACCAGACTCTCATTACTTCAATGTTTGGATGTTGATAAGGTGGAATACGGCCAATTAAGCACAATCCCTGATGAGCTGTTGCGGGGAGTAGCGTTGCAAACCAGCCTTGTTATTTCACTCCCCGTGTGAAATGAGACTGGAAGAGCGAGCCACCGGCTGCATCGGGGAGAGACGGGGGACAGTGGACAATAAATCAAAGCCCTCATTCAGTCTCACTGCTCTCCTTCAAGGGTCTTTTCCCTCTACTCTCATGTGTGATCTTTTCTTGATTCATTAAGGTCAGCTGAGCAGAAAATTTTGCAGCTGCTGGTGAGCTAAGGGAGCTGCTGGACCCCATCCACAGCTCCTTCCTCTTCCCTTTTTGGACAGAAGCAGCAAAATGCAGCTGCCTGCAAGGCTTTATTTCGGGTTGGAAAATCTCCAAACACAGAGTGGGGGAAAAACTGAACGGGCTGTAAATCAGAGGTGGCCTTGAAGCAACCCCCTGGTTCCCAAATGCAGGGAAGGGCTGCAGATGGAGACAGGGACATGGAGCATCCACTGAGGGCTAAGATGGACGGACGGGTCTGAGGACAGACAGACGGGTCTGAGGACAGACAGACGGGTCTGAGAACTGCACAGGGGTGCAAACAGCACCCTGGGGATGCTGCAGTGGTCCCCAGAGTGGAGCTAATACCATCATCCTAAATAAATCTCCCAACCCTTCACATCTCCCTGTACGGAACCTTCTTGAGAAGGCACTTGAAAATGAGTCACTTTTTCCTTCAAGACTTTTTAAAGCCAATAACAAGATCCCCAGAAAAATTCCCGAGGGGTGCTGAGAGAATTTGGCATCTCATTTTTTACAAATCCCTATAAAATGTTTCAGACACCGGTTTTCCAAAAAAAAAATCCTAAAGCAGAACTGTGTTATGAAAGACCATTTATTATGGACACTTTCCTGATTTAATAGTCTAGTGTTCCTTATAAGAAAGCCAGCAAAATTTTGATCCAAATCCAATTTTTGGCAAGTTTTTTTTTTTCTGTGTCAAAATAAATTTTTCACCAGAAGTGTGCTGACAAAAGAAAATTTAGATTAGTCCTAGTGAAGACCTTTCCTGCCCCTGAAGTAGACACTGCAGTTTCCAGGGATAAAATACGTATATGAGGCACAGGAGCTCCCTGACCCCCCCGTTTTGCTCTGCCCGTGCCGTGAAGGCACCTCACTGCAGGAAAGTGGTAGGTAATTTTTTTTGGACTTATAGGACAAGATAGAAAGTGCCTCATGCCTTCCTTCATGTGTTTGCTTTTGGACAACCTATTCTGTGCGTTTGTGTGCCAGGAGAAGAAGCCCAAGAGATGGATGGATGAGGTTTGGAGAAATGCCCCATCCAAGCGATGGGCACCACAAAGAGGTGACCAGGTTGCACTTTGGAACAACTCATGTCCTTCAGGAATCATACAGTCATTTACAAATATTTATACAGTCTGATAAATTACTTTTTGTCAGTAAATATTATTAAATTTCCTGAGACGGCAACTAGGAACACAGAGCTCAAGAGGCTTGGCCAAGGTCTGGGAGAGCTTTGGAAAGAAGCAGAGAGATGCCCAAGCAGCTGTGTTTTCCAGGCAGTTTTGCTCTCTAGACCACATATATAATTTTAAGGTTACAAAGACTGGCTCTTTTGCATAATCATATTAACGATCTGTCTTTAATCTGCGCAGGCATTTTCACAAGCTCGGGTCCAAAGCAAGGAAACTGTTGGCACAATCTCTAGGACATAATCAGACTACAAAGCTCCAATGTTATGGCAAGCTGTAATTTCAAGCAAGGAAGCGAGTTTTATTACTGCAACTGTCATTACAGAGCGCTTACCCAGCACGGCCACCAACTCAATAGGACATTTAGATGCAGAATTAATGCAGGACAGTGTCCAGTGTAAAGAACAACCACAATAAATAAAATACACCAAGGAGGCACAGGATATAAAACCAGAAGAAAATGGCAGAGCAAAAAACTCAAGTGAACCATATTTAATATTGATATTTAACCTTGAATAGTTTATTCCAACTCTTTCTCTGCATTTGTGGCTTGTTCTAACACCGGCAGGTTCTACTTTTCAGTAGTGGAATGAGAAAAAGTTGTTCAGAAAGTTTTAATAAAACCCATAATTGGTGCAGTAGAACCTAAGGAGATATTCCTAGAAAGAGAGAGAAAGAGAAAGGCAGAAGGAAAGAGCAAAAGAGAAAGAAGGAAAGACAGAGATAGAGAGAAAAAGAGAGAAAGAAACAAAGAAATAAAGGAAAAGATAAAGAAAAAAAATGAGAGAGAAGGAGGGATATTTTCCCATCAGACTATCTGCAGCCAGCTTGCTTTTGACTTTCATATCTATTTAAAAATACAAAATTGGGAGCATTGAAAAAGAGCTCCCAAATTAGCTTTTTAATAGAGATCGGAAGTTAAAAGGGGGCCGAGTCATGGGGGAGCAGCTATTCAGAATCACAGCCAGGCCAGAGCCCGCAGAGAGTGAGGCCAGAGCAGCCTGATGAGAGGAGTCAGGAAGTTTTATGAAGTGGTGACATTGGAAATCAGAGAAAAACCTCGTATACCAGTAAAAGCCAAATGACATCTCTCTGGTTTTGCTTTCTTCTGAGCATCTGCAAGAGGAAAAGAGCAAGTAGAGATATAGGGAGTATTTTAAAGAGGAAAGCCGTTCTGAAGACCTCTAATAAAGATGGGTTCTGGATGCTTTGATTTGCTTAAATCCCTCCAGCCACTGAAAGTTTCTCATAGAAGTTTCAGGATTCACTTTCCAGGCAAAGTATCCAGCATTCAACTATTGTATCCCTCTTCTATTGTAATACATTGCATTTGCATAACCTCATTAACCAGCCTGCAGTCATTGTAATGCAGCTTACAAATATTATTGGGGGAAATTGTTCTGGGGGAGGATTAGCCAGGACCTGACATTCAGAAATTAGTGTTATTTTTTAATAATTGCATTGAATTATCAGTGATTAGACAATGTCGAGACACCGAACTGGACTGATCACCATTCTGGTGTCTGAGTTTCCAGCTCAGATTTTCCAAACCAGACAATCATAGAATGGTTTGGGTTGGAAGGGACCTTAAAGCCCCCCCAGTGCCACCCCCTGCCCTGGGCAGGGACACCTCCCACCAGACCAGGTTGCTCCAAGCCCAGTTCAACCTGCCCTTGAACCCCTCCAGGGATGGGGCAGCCACAGCTTCTCTGGGCAACCTGGGCCAGGCTCTCACCACCCTCACACCAAAGAAGTTCTTCCCCAGAAATCTCATCTCCATCTCCCCTCTTTCAGGGTCAAATCTTTCCCCCTCCTCCTAGGGCTCCCCTCCCTGATCAAGAGTCACAGAATCATAGAACCATCGAATCCCAGGTTGAAGGGACCTCGAGGATGATCCTTGTCCCCTGGTCCAACCTTTCTTGGCAAAACCCAAGGCTGCCCAGCGCCCTGTTCAGCTGAATCCTAACAGCATCCAACGATGGGGAATCCACCGCTTCCCATTCCAATGCCTGAATTCTGACTGTTGAAATATTTGAGGATTTGTGGAGGTTTTCCTAATTATTATTATCTTTTTTAACAAATCCTTGGTGTAAAGAGCTCTGGGAAGAAAGGCCCATTGTAGGCACATGAAATCACCTGGATGCTCCTGAGTAACATGCTCTAGCTCTAGGCAATCCTGCTTTAGCAGGGGAGTTGGACTAGATGATCTCTATGGTCCCTTCCAACTCTAAAATTCAGTGAAATTCAGTGAAATTCAGTGAAAAGGGGCCCTGGCCGGCGGTGGCTTTGCCAGGTCCCTATTTCCCCTGTTTTTAAACAGCAGAGCAACCCCAGCCCCCCCCC